AAAATCAAATTATAACAAGAAACAGTTTGATTCAGCTCCTTTAATTGATACATTTCTGAGGTAGCTTTAATTAGAGCAGTGAAACATTCATTTCTGAAATACACTAGGTAGCAGAAAAAGAACCAATCTAGTTATAGAGATTAGCTACAATTGAAAGGCAAGTTCATTTAAGGTTGGACATGCTGTAGGAAATCAAAAAATGCCTTTTTTTAAACTGTGGACCAAGATAATGACTTTTAATCAAATCACAACCACAAGAAGCCTTGACTCTCCAAGGATCAAAAAATCAATAAAACAAAACAAAGCCAAAAACCACTATGGCTAGTTGGCTATTAAGAAAATGATAAAGAACTGGAATGAAACAAAACTATCTTTTAAAAATTATTAGAAGCACATTGTTAAAATAATGCAAATTTACGAACGGTTTTTAAATCATTAGATCAGACTTTTAGAATCAAATACAAGGTCCTACATGGCATAATACATAGGAGTCCTTTGTACATGGTAATAGTTAAAACAAAGTATCAGATTCAATAAAATAAATCTCAGAAGTAAAAATACTCCTTTTAACCAGAGATAGAAAACTAATTCAGGAAGTTATTCAGCAGCTTATGAAGAAATAGGAAGTTGTTCACCAACTACTTGAAAAATTATTTCCTGCAGGAAAAGTATAAGACAGCTGAAGAAAGCAGTAATTCTCAGAGTAGTAAAGGTAATGAATTCTTTTTAAGTAAAGCTCAAAGTACTATGTTGAAGAAATTAGTTTCAAAAAGTAAATTCAGTAGAATATTATACGCAGTATACAGGTTAAGCCTTTTCTACATTCTTCACAGTCATACCAGAGCCTGAGGAAGTGTCATTGATAAATACAGCTAGTAATGTATATCTACCACATTTCTTGCCAAAATTAGGGATAAGTTTTCTCCAGAAGACATCTCACTGAGCTAGTTGTTGTTAGGTGCCATCGTGTTGGTTTTCGACTCGTAGGGGCCCCATGTGACAAAGTAGAGCTGCCCTATAAGGTTTTTCTAGGCTGTAATCTTTACAGCAGCAGATTGCAGTCTTTCGCCCAAAGAGTAGCTGGGTTAGAACTGCCAATCTTCATTAGGAGCCGAGCGCTTAACCATTGTGCCACCAAGACTCATCTACTGAGCAAGGGAGGGATTTAAAAATACCAACGATCACCTGCTTATAATCCTCTAGTAATTATGCTGTCTTGAAACTAGAGAATGGGCCACATGACTTCAAAATCTCCTTCATCTATGGTCACAAGGCAACAATTGGTTGTTTCCAAAGTCAACATTTCTAAGTGTTTAATCAAATTACATCATCTTGCATGTTTGGATCATTTACAGTCAAATTCCTTCATACCAAGTAAAAATTTCAAAAAATTACATATTTTGTAACTTAAAAGTTAGTTCCAACAAGTATCGATCAAAATGTATATAGTCAGTTAATTTTCCACTCTTGAAATGAGTGTAAAGTTTGCAGTTACCGTAAGTCTTTCTACATTTGGTTGACAAAAAGAGTCATCTTTAGACAGAAGAAAAAAATATCTAAGTATTGACTTCAAAAACAGTCAGACTTTAAAACATCAAAACTATGATAAAAATCAACTTTGACAATAGCAACTTGACTCCAAAATCTCAGTTTATCATCTTAGACTCACAGTCAGGACAGATATTATTCTTACTTAAGGAAGCCCCGGTGGTACAATGGTTAAGCGCTCAGCTGCTAACCAAAAGTTTGGCAATTCGAACCCACCCAGCCACCCCATGGGAGAATGACCTGGTGATCTGCTTCCACAGAGTTCAGCCAAGAAAACCCTATGGGGCAGTTCTACCGTCACTCGGGGTCACCATGAGTTGGAATCAACTCAACAGCACACAACATTTGTACAGTACACAGAAATGTGTTTGTTGTTTATGACAACTTACTCAGTTCTGATGAATGTTTAAGAACATCATGGAAGTGGCTGACAATTGGAGAAGGTGAACTAATCTTATTTCATAACTTTTCTTCAAATTGCACAGTGATCATAAAGCAGATCCTCTTTATTAGAATATAAAATTCTATAGGCCCACAGCATTCATCCTTCACATCCAATGTTTAAGGACCCTCTATACAATCCCTTGGTAAAGTAGACGGTCAGTGAAAAAGAGGAAGACCGTCAAGATGGACTGACACAGCGGCTGCAACAATGGGCTCAAGCATAACAACTATTGTAAGCATGGTGCAGAATCGGGCAGTGTTTTGTTCTGTTGTACACAGGGTCACCATGAGTCAGAACTGACTCGACCGCACCTAACAACAACAACGTACAATCCCTAAGGAGCCCTGATGGCACAGTGGTTAAGCGTTTGGCTGCTCCAAAAGGTCAGCGGTTTAAACACACCAGCCACTCTGTGAGAGAAAGATATGGGAGTCTTCTTCCAGAAACCCTATGGGACAGTTCTACTCTGTCCTACAGGGTCAGAGTCGGAATCAACGCTACGGCAGTGGGTTTGGCTTGGGTTTTTTATACAATCCCTGACAGCTACCAAGTAATCCATGTTTTCCCTGCTTTTACTGACAGAGATCTAGCTCTCAGGGAAACACCTTCTATTTTGAAAAGTTTGACATGAGAAAATTCCTACATGGAGCCCAAAATCTTCATGTTTCTTATCATACAATATACCTAATTTTACTTCCACATGTGAGTCCCTCAAAAATCTTGAAACAATAATCATGTCTTCTCTCTCCTATCAGTTTTTTCTTTTCCAGATAAACTTTTCTCCATTCCAGTAACCATTCCCCATACAACCTAATTTTCATATAATTTTGCCCTAATTTACCTTCTCTACAACCCCACATGAGATGTGTGGTATGATGTGATGTCTACGTGTACACTTTTCTTTAATTCATCTACGTCAGTATCTTTAAGAGAAACATTTGTTCTCAAAAGAACTATCAGAAATTTTTAAAAAATAAATGTGTAGAATATTATTTCAGCTCAAAACAAGAAGTTCACTCTTTCAAAATAATGAAAAGGCAGAGAGATGTCACCCATAAGCAATTACTACAAGATACAAGAGGCTAAAAAGAAGAACATAAATATTGCTCTTTAAGCTTATACTTTTAGCCACACCATCAACCAAAGAAAACAGAAGGCAAGCTGGCTATTGAGCTGTTTAAAAATCTCCCCAGATCAGCATGTGACCCAGCAGGGAGAGGTTCAAAAAAGTACAGCCTTTCTTTTTCTTCCTAACAACCTGGTTTGTTTCCACTCCTTTCCCCTTCAAGACACATCCCTCACAGCTAGCAGCTCTTTCAATCATTTACTTTGGATGTCTGCTCGAGAACAAATGATCTTGCTCATGCAGATGAGTTTGCCAGACTTGTGTGTACTTTCCAGTCTCAGGCCCTTTATTGTTCTGGTTGAAACCTGACCCTTTGAAATGGATACCAGGACACCAGAAAATGAATTTTAAAAGAAGAAAAAAAGTTGAAGGGAAGTGGGTAAAGAACTGCAGAAACTTTTACAGATCAAACTTTTTCCCTTGCTCTTCACCTAAATAAGCCTGTCACAAAACTTTGTATCTTGCAAACTAACAATCCACCCTGAAAAACATCATCATTAATTGCATTATCTAAGCTAATATATAAATGTTACATTTGCCTGAGGAATACCCGTTGCCATGGAGTTGATTCCGACTCATAGCGACCCTACAGGAAAGACTAGAATTGCCCCACAGGGTTTCCAAGGCTGTAATCTTTACAGAAGCAAGCTGCTACATCTTTCTCCCCACCTGAGGAATAGATTGTCAAAACAGATCTCAATCAAAACTTGGACTGGATTGGATTTCAGTCTATAATAACTGGTTTTAGAAAACATTTTGTATACACTTGATCCAAACGAACCAGATAAAAATATTCATCTATAATCTTTAATCTATAATCTACAATTTCAGAGCCCTAAAGATCAGCAGGCAGTTCGAATCAACCAGCTGCTCCCTGGAAACTCTATGGGGCAGTTCTACCCTGTCCTATAGGGTCGCTAATAGTTGGAATTGACTGGACGGCAATGGGTTTGGTTTTTGGTATCTATAACTTCAAAATTAGAGGGATTAAAATTCTATCTAGATCTTTTCAGTTTTAACACAATTTTGTCATTTTGTTAAAGACAAAAGGGCTTCCCAGAGAAGAGGCAGACTGTGTTTTGAAGCTAACTTGAAAGAAGTTTGTCTCTGAGTGACTGTATATCACAATATTTCATATTTCCCTTTATATTTTGGGGAAGAAAAACACAAACTCTGGGGAGCACTCGGCTTTTTCTGCTCAATTTTTCTGTAAACCTAAACCTGCTCTAAAGTATAAAGCTTGTTAATTTTGTTTAAAAATAACTGATAAATCACATCTAACTGCTACTAAAAGTACTTGTCATTTTACAATTCAAAATACTATAAAATTAGACTTCTATATTTTTGTTAATTCTTTTCTGTTGATAAAATGTTTATTTAAAAAGACATTACTAGTGTCCTACATATTTTGTAAGACTATGTCAGTTCTGTAATTCTCACAATTTGAAAGATTTCATGGTATTCTTGAACTCAGTTTTGTGCTAGGCTAATTAAATATATTTGGCACAAACTCAAAATAATCAAACTACCACAAAAGAAAAGATAGTAAAAATGCTCTGAACCAAGGATCAATCAAACCTTCAAAATATTACCAAATCTAAAGAAGGCATTTAGGTCATACCAAAAGTGCAGAAAAAAATATACACACAATGTCTTAAAACAACATGTGTATTAACTGTTTAATGAGAAACTAATTTGCTCTGTAAACCTTCACCTAAAGTACAATAAAAAACATATATATACAGACTACATAACTGAGCTTGACTTATATATTAAATCAAATACAAAAATAAATGGCATTTTATATCCTGACACCACTTACTGTGTTTTCCAAAATACATTTTTCTTAGATAACTATCTCCCACCATTATTTTCACTTACTTTAAGAAGTATCTCTGACCAGAAGATGTTTTCGCCATTTCCCAGCCTGCTGGCAGAGGTACATCGTCAGGTATTTCAAACGAAGACTGTCGAAGATGTTGAGCAGTGGGTGTAGCTGCTGGGCCAGAAACTACTCCAGTGGGGCTCAGGGTCCCAGGAGAAACTGCTCCCAGCTGCAGGGAAGCTGGAGAGGAATGCGCTCGGACATGCTGTGGAGCCAGGGCTCCTGCAGTTCCTGCATCAGTACTGACCTATTAGGAATATTAAAATGAAAATTTAAAAAACACCATTTTTAAAAGAGTTCTTTTAAATTTTCTAGATAGAATTTCATTGCAACCCAATATTTAAAAACCAAAGGCAAAATTCAACGTTTAATATTTGACCCTGAGGAAAACAGTTTGGCAAAAGCATATTTTTAAATGGTTTATGACTTTGTTCTTATATTTTCGCAAACGTTTGTAATTTTAATAAACAGTCCATCTAACTGATTTTCTACCTACTACCCATTAAGCACGCCTCTACATCTTTTAGAGCCAACTAGAAAAGAATGAACGAAACATTCCTAAAGTAGTAAATACTAAACTTTACAACCTAATTTCTAAAAGGTCAGGGCAGTATGGGGGCTTTTCCAAGTTCTAAAATGTCCCAGGTATAAACATAACCCAAGAAATATAACGACTATGCCTCCCTTTTTTTGTCTAAACCGAGCTTTAATTACTTTTTTTTTCCAGGTCAAGACCTAAACAGATGACTTTTGTCATTTTTTTCTCACTATGGACAAATGCTATCAACCAATCATCACAAGTTGTACAATTTTTAATGAATGCAGAATTTTCATCCAAAAGTTCTTAAATAAAGCCATCTTAAAGGATGAAATGAAAAACCAACCATATATTTGTACCTACATGATAAAGATGTTAGCAGTTTGATTATGATATAGAACTTACACCCTTATATAACTGTGTAATAGCAAAAAGAAAAGGACAAAAAAATTCCTGCACTCAGTCTCCAAAGAGCTGGGTTCCAGTTCAAGTTCCTATACCTTGTTGGCTAATACTACACACTGAACAAATATCTTAATCTCTGTGAGCCTCAGTTTCCTCATCTGCAAAATAGTTTTTGTTTGCTTTCATGATGGAAAAATGGGGGTAATATATGATATATAGGAGCCATGGTGGTGCAGGAGGAGCTCTGGTGGCACAGTGGTTAAGCATTTGGCTGCTAACCAAAAGGGTGGCAGTTCAAATCCACTAGGCCCTCCTTGGAAACCCTATGGGGCAGTTCTACTCTGTCCTATAGGGTTATGATGAGTCGGAATCAACTTGATGGCAAAGGGTTTGGTTTGGTTTTTTGGTTTGGTTGGTGCAGTGGTTAAGTGCTTGGCTACTAACCAAAAGGTCAGTGGTTTGAACCTACCAGACTGCTCTGCAGGAAAAAGATGTAGTAGTCTGCCTCCATAAAGATTAGCCAAAACAAAACACCAAATCCGTTGCCATTGAGTCGATTCTGACTCATAGAGATTCTACAGGATAGAGTAGAACTGCCCCATAGAGTTTCCAAGGAGCAGCTGGTGGATTCAAACTGCCGACCTTTTGGTTAGCAGCCGAGCTTTTAACCACTGTGCCATGAGGGCTCCAACTCCATACAAACCAAAAAGAATTGCAAGTGAAAAGCGTACTTAATTCTTCTAATAAATAACTACACAAAAATTTATATCCAGCAATTTGTGGACAGTCTCCCACCCTTGCCCATATGAATCTAGGAAATTCTAACTTTTGGATAAAATTCTAATTCTAATCAATGGGTTAAAAAAAATTTACTCAGTTTGGAATAGTATGAATCTGTGTTGTAAATACTATCATTCATAAACTGCTGGATGTAAATTCTTAGGTTTATTATCATATAACCAAACCAAACCCACTGCCACTGAGTCAATTCTGACCCACAGCGACCCTACTGGACAGTAGAACTGCCCCATAGAGTTTTCAAGACTGTAATCTTTATGGATCAATCTTTATGGATTACAGCCTTGGAAACCCTATGGGGCAGTTCTACTCTGTCCTATAGGGTTGCCATGAGTCAGAATTGACTCGGCAGCAGTGGGTTTGGTTTGGTTATATGATATAAACCTAAGAATTTACATCCAGCCGTTTATGAACAATAGTATTTACAACAGAGATATATACTATTCAAAATCGAGCAGTTTTTTTTTTTTAATCCACTGATTAGAATGATTATCAAAAAGTTAGAATTTCGTAGATTCATATGGCCAAGGAAGGAATACTGTCCACCTACTGCTGGATATAAATTCTTGTGCAGTTAGTTACTTATTAGAAGAATAAGTTCATTTTTCAGTTGCAATTCTTTTTGGTTTATAGATGGCACAAAATGGGAAATTCAATCTCCTATGAGCATTATAACATAGTAATAGCACGCTGTAAACTCTGTAGGGTGCATGCCAACACACTTTATCTATAATGAGTCCAGAAGCTCACCTCTGAGGTAAGAAAAAAAAGCATACCTAAATCTACCTCTTACAAAGTGTTTAGGCAAGCAGCTAAATTGGTTTTTTCTTCCTCATCCTTAACCCGGGTTTTTGTCAGCAGGTAAAGTGAGCTTTTCTGAGTTCCAAAATACCCTCGTTTGCCCACAAGAATATACTACAGGCCTGCAGATAGGAGGAATGGGAGTGGGGGTGGGGGATAACTCTTCTTTCCACTCAAGTTACAGCCAGAGTGAACCAACTACACTGCAGTATTTGGAAAACCAACTAGCTTTTGGGCAAAGTTCCTACGCTGAAGTTTAGCCTAAAGCACCTTCTTAAAAAAAAAAAAAAAAGACAAGTACAAAAACACCTACAAAAGCCCTCACTAAAAAAATCTACTGGGACTTACTGGGATGTTAAAACTTTCCTAATAGTTTCATTTCAATATTAAAACAAGTCGACAAAATAGTCGAACGTTGTGTTTGTGGAAAAGCAGCCATGTTCATATCCTCAATAAGAATTAAAAAGCAATGGCGATCCTAGAATTAATCATCGCTTCCCAAACATTAACTTTTAATCACAGTTGAACTAAAGCAGGACTCGGCCTATGAGTCAACCTGCAGCGTACTATCAAAGGCTGTGTGTTAAAACCTCGGTACTGTAAAGCTCAACTCAGTTCCTGCGCAACGTGCAGATGTGGCTAATTTAAAAGCATTTCAGCAGACTGTAAATAATAGTCTACAATTGGGAAACCAACACGTGAACCTACGAAGTCTGATAAGAGCGAGCCTGCCCAAGTTCCAAGAGCAAGGGAAGTGCAGAGGTGAAAGAACAAACTCCATAAACAACTTCCAGGAAAGTCTGGGCAGGGGAAGCCCGGATCCTGTATTCCGAAAGGGCCGGGGCAGCGAGGAAAATAAATGCTTTCGGCCGGGGGAGGGGGAGAAAGAGCAAGAAAACGAAAAGGACTAGTTCCACCCCCACCCCCTAATCAACACTGGAAAACAAGAGAACAATTATTTGACTCCCCAGGAGACTGAAGAGGACCGAGAGGCCCCGAAGGAAAGGGGGCCCAGGGCTCAACTTCACAAACTCGGCCGCCGCTGGCAACTCACCCACACGAATGCCAGAGGCCCCCCTCCCCCTCCCCGGGCCGCGGCTGGAGCGAAGGTGCGGAGCGCGCGGAGGCGCGCGCATTGTGCAAGCCCACCGCAGCCCGGGCGGGCTCTCCCCACCCCCTTCCTTCCTCCCCACCTCCCCCTCCACTCCCGCCAACCTCTTGGGAACCCCGGGAAGAAAGAAAGAAAGGAAGAAGGGGGAAAGCACACCCCCCGGGGCTGCAACCGCAGAAACTCCAAGAGGAAAAACAAATCTCGGCCCCGGACTCCGGGAGGAGTGGGGAGCCAATAACCGCGGCCGAGCAGGCGCCTCCAGTTCCTCCAACTCACCGGGATATCCCTACCCCTTCGCCAGGGTTCCCGGAATCCCCACCCCGAACTGGGGCCCGCCCGACGGGGAAGGGAGTAGGTTACCTGTCGGTTGTGGGATTTGGGCTCCGGCGGCTTAAAGAAGGAGTCCGGCAGCTTTCGGAGCCTCATGGGCACGGTCGGGGGCACGTTGGCTGTCTTGGGGTTCATGACGGCGTTGAAGAGCGCCTCCAGGTCGGTCTCCGAGTCCCCCCGGACGTGCACGATCTGGTGCCCCGCGGGGGGTGCCTGCGGCGCCCCCTGGGACCCCCGGGGCGCCGGCTGCCCAGGCCCGGACGGCGGGTCTTGCCCCTGGGGGGGCTGCGCGGGCGGCTGCCCTTGGCCCTGGGGGGCCGGCTGAGGCGGCGGCTGCTGCCCGGGATCCATGGCTTCTGCCTCTCCCGACGCGCACCCCCTAACCAGGCGGGCGAGGGCTCCGCCCGGGCGCCCCGGCTCGACGGGCCGAGACTAGAGAAGAGGCGAGGGCGGCGCTGGGCGTCGGGAGCGGCGCGCTCCTCGCTCTTAGGGCCGAGGGGCTGCGCCGCAGCCCCGCATCCCCCGCCCCGGCGCCTCCGCCCCCGCCCTGCGCCCCGGCTCCACTGGTCTAGCGGCTGCGCCTCGGGAGGGGCTGAGAGAGACCCGGACCTGCGGCGCCTGAGAACTTTTTTGCCTTCAACTCCCTTGACTGAAGCTAGACAACTAGTTGCTTTTCCCCTCCCCCTTTCTCTTTTATTTCCTTTTCTTGTCCTTCCTTCCTCTCTTTCTTTTCCCCGGCGGCGGCAGTGCCCGACTGAGACAGAAACTCGCCTCAGACGCCAAAACTAAAGTTGAGAGAACCGCCCGCCCGAGCCGCTCGCCGGCTCCGCCTCCTCCCGGCTCTTCCTTCCTCTGCGCGCCCGCCCGCACCGAATCCGCGGCCGGCCGCCGAGGGAAACTTTTCCCTGCAAGTTACTACATTCCTGCAAACTCCCAGCCTCCAATGCCTCTCCCAGTCGCACGTGACCAACTCGCCCTCAATCCAGTGCTCCGCCTGTGCTTCAAGGGCAGCGGTTGAGAAGGTGCTTGGACCTCCGCTCCGCGAGTACTGACGGCCTGGGGGGATGGAAACTTTGGGTCCTATCTGGGTCCGAACTCTTGTCTCTGCGGAGAACGCGGCCGCCCTTCGCCGCGGGAAGTCCTCCCGCCCCGCCCGGTCCCTCCCCGCCAGTCCTTGGGAAAAGGCTCTTTCCAGCTCGCCAGGAGATGCGAAATGGCTAAGGCCAAAAGAAGTCTCGAGAGGGTGAAACTCCACTTAAACCCTCCCCGCGTTAGATCGACTTAACCAGCAGTAGTGTCAATACGGGGTTAAAAGCGCAAGAATAGGTTGGAGTTACAATAGATATCAGTAACAGACACCGATCTTAACAAAAGTGTGTTTTTAAACACTAACTTGATTTTGCAGTTTTTCACTCACCTCTTACCATGCAACAAAAAGGATAAACGATTACAGTATTTAGATAGTTTGAGGCTAGTTCTGTGATTCAGTGTAACTTAACTTCAAAAAAAAAAAAAGATTGCCTGTTTTCCTGTCCAGTGAAATAAGATGCACGAGTTTTGTTCTTTTTTTTTAAGTGAAAACATCAACTTTTATAGGGTTCAAACTTGCAACATACCCACTGAAAACCTCCACGTGAAAAATCAGTGTTTACTTTCAGTTACAAACAATTCTCTGTATACCTGCCTTTCATCCTAGAGGAGCTGTGAACCTATTCCATTGTTACCCCTGTGCCTGACAGAACGCTGGACTCCGTGAATGTTGGCTGAATAAGAAATTAATGGGCGAGGAAATCATCCCAGGCACCTGATCCTCAATGTGGCCATGTCATATATGCTTGGAGTCCACTTAAAATCACTCAAAAGCAGTCAAAATTTGTTATTTTTTTAAATTCAAAACATCATTTTGATTTTTTAAAAAAAGCTTCGAAATATACAATTGCATATCTAACACATAAATACAATTCATCCATTTAAGCAATGCAGTGTTTTTTAGTAAATTCACAGGGTTGTACAACATGACTGATTTTAAACCACTACTCACCACTTCAGAGCTCTGGTGACACAGTGGTTAAGAGCTCGGCTGCTAACCAAAAAGGCTGGCAGTTTGAATCCACCAGTTGCTCCTTGGAAACCCTGTGGGGCAGTTCTATTCTGTCCTATAGGGTCGCTATGAGTCAGAATCCCCTCAGTGGCAATGGGTTTGGTTTGTTTGTTTTTTCACTCAGGGCGGTGGAGTCGATTCCTACTCAATGACCCTATAGGACGAATAGAATCCAAGGCTGTAATCTTGATATAAAGAGCCACATCTTTCTCCCCGTGGGAGCGGCTGGTGGGTTCAAACCCAAACCTTTTGATTAGTAGAAGAGTGCTTTAACCACTGGGCCACCAGGGCTCCTTAAACCATTAGCCCATTCTAAAGATATCTGCCTTCTTGTTTTAATGATTTTGTCTACAATGCTAGTGAGAACAAATGTATAAAATAGGATTAAGCAAGAAAGGGCCTCTTTGCCAAAAAATAATCTCTTCCTCCAGCCAGGATTTCCCCACCTGAATTTTGAATAGGGATCTGTATCACTTGGTGTAGGGCAGGGCCTGGGGTTGAGGCATCAGACTCTCAAGATTCTAACCCCCTCCATGACTACTTTCTCTGAAGAACGGAATCATTGTAAATGATGCTCACAATCCCTTTTTGGATTTGTTTCCCCAACCTTAACCCCCTAAAAATGTTAAATGTCAAGTGCGTTTAACCACAAACTTGTAGGTTCTTGAGTTACAGAGATTTGAGTTGTTCAGGTCCCAGTTCCACCCTTTACTAGCTGTGAGACATTGGACAAGTTACTCTGTCATCTTTAAAATGGTCTTTATACAAAGACTCACCATTATCCTGGATCATTTTCATTGCCCATGTAGATTACTCTCTCAAAACACTAGTATTGCAACTATTTGACCTCTCAGCTGCAATGGACCCTCATCTCCACTCCACTTTAGGTTGCTGAGGTATTAAATGAGTTAATGGACATAAAGTACTCAGCCCCAGTGTTTGGCATATGGTAAGTGCTGTATGTCAGCTATCATTGTTCACACATTATTTCACAGGTAGTGACACAGCCCCCCTTTCTAAACATAGCCACAGGGACCTTGTTGGCAATCCCTTCCTCTCACATCCAGTAATCAATCTACACAAAGAAACCCTTTGGGTAGAAACTATGCATTGCACTGAAAACTTTTAAAGAACCAAAGTGATTGAAAACCTGCGATTGTAATGGAACCTGTCCCTTAATAAGAGCATTTATTACTATGAACACTATAATTAAAGGGCTTAGGGTACAGCAGAGGTTGCTTTGTTCAATATTGTTTCACCTGCCATTACACTGAGAACAAAATTACTTTGATAAGTGGATAGGAAGGCTGTTTGGAGTGATTTTAGGTTCTGTAAGTACTCCTCTACCAGATTTTGTAATTTAGTATTCCTCATCTATAAAATTTCAATCACAGGTTAGAAATAAAGATAACATGTATTCAGTCCTTTGTCCTTTCCCATCTCCAACCCCCTTTTGGAACAATCATCAGTTTAAGGCACCTTCAAATGGGGAGTTACCGTCTTTATACAAAGACCCACCATTATCCTGGATCATACTCATTGTCCATGTAGATCACTCTCTCAAAGCACTAGTTTTGCAACTATTTGACCTCTTAACTACAATGGACCCTCATCTCCACTTTAGCCACCAGACCACCACCCACTCCTATGTCCACACCCTGTTATCATCCAGAAATACTAGTGAAATCAAACTATGTTATATCATTCTGTTAGTAATCATTTGGTTCTCACACTTCATTTATTATTGCCCTCTCCTTCTACAAATCTATCACTCCCTCCTGTTTTCCCTTCCTTCCCAGTTCAATTTAGAGATCATAATCATTGCTTCAACCTCTCACAATAATCATCTTTGCCCTCAATTCCATTACCCTATGTATTTCAATGAACTGGATCTATTAAACTAGATTAATCCAGTCATCTGTCTTTTCTACTCCAACACCTAAGGCATACCGGGCCTGGATCCCACATTAATTAAAAGCTTTCATCAAAGCTTTTGACATTTCATCCAAGGGAGGTTATAATACCATCCTGAAAATATACCTACATAACTACAAGAAGATATTCATTGTAGAACAGTATTACTGAATGACACTATGAATTAGTATTTTAAGTAAATTCTGTAATTATCTACTGAATAGCACAACTGTATTACATTATAATTATTGTGTGGTAAAAGTATTGATTTGCTAAGTGTAAACATTTGAAACACACTTCAGTTTTGTAATCCTCTCTTGGCATTCCAGCATGCTTCAGTATACTGGGAGTTTGAAAAAAGAAAATGTGGCCACCTCTCTTCAGTCTCTGAGAAACCTGGCTGACACCCAGGTTCCTGGGGGCCACTGGAGCGAATCTCACAGCCGAGCGGATTGGTGTCCCTCAACATTTATAGTCTCTCACCTCTTTTTACTCGTATCATATGGCTATTCTGAACTTCACCACTCCCTCATCATGTTTATTCATCATCCCCTTACCCCTCAGAAAATGACATAACCTCCAACACTCAGAGAGATGAAGGCCATCATGCACAAAGGCCCTGAAAGTCTTCCCATCTCAACCCCCTCCCTGACTCCCAACACATGTATTCATTCTCACGAGCCCTTCCCTCCATAGGTGTATTTTTTCAAAAGAGCAGTCCACATGCTTGTTCTTCACTTCCTCACCTTTTGTTCATTTACCCTTCAACTCATCTACAACTGAACTTTTTACCCCTGCCCTCCTCTACCCTGAACCACGTACACACCCTCCCAAGCCACATCCTCCTTCTGATTCACCATCTCAGTTAATGACATCATGATCCACCCACTTGTTCAAGCCAAAAAACTGGGTGCCTTAGTCACCTCCCTCTCACCATCACTTACATTCAATCAGTTACTAATTTGTGTTAATTCTTTTTCTTTCAGATCTCTGAAAAGTCAGCTGTCCAACTCCATGCCCATTTCTACTTCTACTTCATTTCCCATCATTTCTTGTAGATCCTACAAAATTATGTCCCTGCTTTAGCTTTATCTGGTTCCATAAGACTTCTATTTTGATGTCAGAGTGATCTTTCCAACATGCAATTCTGACCATGGTGTGGTATCATTCAGGACTAACTCAAACCCCTTTATATGGCATATAAGGCCCTTAACCATTGTTGCCTTTGGTTCTCTCCCCAGCCATCTCTTGCCACTCACCTATGTGTTCTGTTTTCCAGGCACACTGAACCATTGTTCCTTGAATAGCCATTTTCTTTCCTGCCCTCTTGCTTCTGCAGATGTTATTCCTGCCACCTGGAACTCCTTTTCCCCCCTTTTCACCTGGTTCCCCTTGATACTCAACCTTCAAGACTTAACTCATGTGTTACCTCTTACAGGAAGCCCTCCATGACTCTGCCCTTCTCATTGGTCCCCACCCCATAGTAACTCAGGGGTTTCTCCTCTGGGCTCTCACAGACTCTGACCATTGCCTCCATCATGGCACTTACCACAGTTTAATTGTTGATTTATGTGTCTGTGTCCCTAGCACCACTTGAGGGCTTCTACAACAGTGTCTCCTGTCTCTATATCTCCATGCCAGCACTGCTTAGCAAATAATAGGTGCTTAATAAATTTAGAAAAGAAGGAGGAGGAGAGAGATAAGGAGGGATCCCAGAGCCCAAAAGTGGA